TCTGTCCTTTGCCTTGGATTCCCTATCCCCCAAACGCCTCTTAAGAACATGAGGGTTCATCACTGTATACCTAGTGCACTAGGACTGCAAAAGTCCTTATTTTCTTCACGGTTAAAGCGTTCGCTCGTCATGCCGATGACCCGGGTTCAATTCCCGACATGGGTACAATGTGTGCTCTACAGACCACAGGGCCTAATGATTGTTTTCAAACACATACCGCGTTATAACAATCTGCCAATGATTTAATACCTATGATATGTTGTCATTTCCCAGAAGGCGACAACACGACCTTGTTCGGGTCACAATATGTGTTGCTCCATCAAAAATGTGCAAATCAATTCGTTAAGGTATGGGGAAAATGCCATCAAAATGTTGAGGTGCCATGCCTAACTTTCACAGCTGATAATTTTATCTTCATCAAAGCAGAGTAGATCGTGAACAAAGCTATAATCTTTGAGAGAGAGACATGGTCATGAGAGACAGTATGCCTGTAACCCTTATTTATTTATCATGTCAAATCTTCCATTTCAAGAGGCCATATCAGTTGTTGACTGTGATGTGAAATGACCATTAAGCATCAAATAACCTTACTTGGAAAAAAATACAATATAAACATATACATTAATAAATATAGTTTATTGCAAAAATCTAAACTGACGAGCAAAAGGAATGTTACCAATCAATAGTGTTTGTTCCTAAAAGCAGAACAGGAAGATACTTGTACGGTAAGGGACCGCCTCCGTGGTCCAAGGGTAGAGCGGAAGGTCCGGGGTTCGATCCCCGGCCGCGTCATACCAAAAGACGTTAAAAGATGGTACTTGTTGTTACCCTGTCTGGCGCTCGGCATTAAGGGGCTAAAACAAGGACTGGTCGGCTCGGAGTCAGTATACTGTGTCTGAGAGGGGTATTCATGTTAAACTGCGGCATGGTATCTCAGTGGGCTAGCACTATAAATCGGCATCAGTCCGGACTAGTACAAGCAGGGGGGCGATTCAATTCAAAAACACCATCGGGTGTAACGAAGGCCGACTTGTGTTTAGTATCTGGATGGAGTGGTATTTGCTGATAGCCACCAGCACAATCAAGGACACTGACACGTTGGCATGGCTGTCGACTTTATATGGCATGAACGACATCTTCAATACGTGACAGAGGGGAAAATATAGGCTTGGTAACTGCATTCAGGCGTTTATGATAAACGGCAAAGTGGTAAGAACTGTCCCGTTTTTTTAACCACAACAACGGGAGAGTGCCATTCAGATGACTGGGCTGAATGATATTGGCTTCTAATATTTCTTTCACCTGTCTGGAACATTCTTTCCTAATGGTTGCGTTTTGCTTATAAAAAGGGAGTCTAATGGATCTGGCGTCACCAGTTTCTCTGAGTATGCTCTAATCCTGACAGATCTGAGGCAAAAACTGCTCTTTGTGATTGGAGAAGTGATTTTACTGTATACTTGTACTTTCAATATTGTCACTATTTTTAAAACGCTTTTCAGGACAAATTAAGCTCCATGACGTTCAGAGGTATTGTTATAGGGCAAACCACTTCAATAAGTTTCTTTTAAACTTCATTTATCCAAAATACCTAATTGTTTCAATATGAATCTAATGTGCACAGAAACTCTAACTCCTTTTTCCGTTTAATGTATACAGCAAACATTCAGCGTATCCCCTCTCCCTCCGGGCTGGACCCTTAATCCCCAGCGTTATCTATAAATGTTAATTAACACCTCTTTACGTCGCTGGATCTTACGTATGGTCTTTTATTATATAAAAATGCTTCCTTATACTGTTATTTCATGGTTACGTTTAAACATCACCTACATCTGTACAGTTATGTTTTAGTGAACAGTGAGAAAAAGTTAACATTCTTTCCATAGGTTGAATTTGAAATGTGCCGTAAAATAAAATCTCAGCTCTCTTTTCAAAAGAAAAAAATCTCAACCCCTAAAAATGAAGAAAAACAACAACATGACTCTACCCCAAAAAGCCCCCCTAAATATCAAATGGCCCGCCCCTTAGTGCATATTTTCAATAATTCAACAAAGCGCGTCAACGCCACATTTCAGCAAAATGTCCCGTTGTCTCTCGATGTCGCGCTTTTTTTTTAATTACTGATTTTTTTCAATATTTTATTTAACCGTAATCCATGATTATTGATGAATCACCAATAGCTCGAAGTCAGTAACAACAAGTGAACAGCGCATGTCCCCGTATAGACGGGTCTATTCTTGAACAAATATTCGTATTTGTTTATTTAGTTTTTACCACGAACACGTTATGGTGCTTAACATCCTCCTGAAGTTTTAGGTTTTTTTAGATCCCCGACCGCGGCATCCCATAAGACGTTAAAAGATGGTACTTGTTGTTTCCATGTCTGCTGCTCGGCATTAAGGGGCTAAAACAAGGCCCGGTCTGTTCTGAATCAATATACTGTGTCTGAGTGGACATGGTTAAACTGCGGCATAGTATCTCAGTGGGATTGTACTATTGCATAAGTGCGGACTAGTCCAATCATCCACACACACGCACACACACGCACGCACGCACGCACGCACACACACACATGCTAGTAGCTATATAGTGCAATAATCTTGAACGCGACGTTAAACCCCATATCACCTCACCTTATTCTATTTCTAATAATAAACCTTCGACCAATGGAAGCTGAAATATAGTCTTCATAGTCCCCATCAACATATATGGGACTGGGATATGTCTGGATAGTCTGTTGCTGTGTCGCTAGTCTCCCCAGGTAAAGTCTCTAGTCTCCCAAGGTGAAAACAGCTGACACTGAAGTCTTTTAATAGCGTATCACTTCCTGCCATCCATCTGCAGTGTCTGTTGCGGGTCAAGACCTGGGAAAATAGAGGAAGGCGGGAGTCTTTGCTGTTGCCATGGATATGGACATGGGTAGGGCGGTAAGGTGTGGCTACAGCTAGGCACTAAGTAGGAGGGGCAGTGATACAGGAAGACTCACTTCCGACAAACCGGTGAAATGGCTGAGGTCCGCGTCGATACACTTTCAGTCAACATAGGCCCGTATTATGTCGCGATTTGACAGTTACCTGATTGACTGATTATCACGAATGAATTGATCTCCTAAATGCCTGTTGCCTTGATCGACAATCAAGAAGCATTACTATCCTGCAAACTATGCTTTAACATAGACACACGGTAGCCACTGTAGATATTACATTTGAGCAATATTAATAGTATTGTAAAATACAGTCACAACAGTGTTATCTTAACCTTCGTTGATAAGGTGATGTAATCGGTGCAGCCAAGGAACAAACGTGATCTTCAATCAAAACAAACTTTCCTGATTTCCTATGATTATTTAGGCATAAAATTCAATAAAAATAGGAAATTTGGACTTGCCGTCAAAACTTGCCACAAAATGTTTGTACCGTCTCCTGAAGAAATCTCGAAATATCAATCTCCCACTTGATTGTATTATTAAAGCTTTTGATGGTATGGTGATACCAATCTTGCTGTAGGATACCGAAGTGTGGGGATTTGAATGTTTGAATATGGTTGAAAAAGTTCATCTAAAAAACCTTAAATTAGTGGCTGGTTAAAATTATCTACTCCTTCTTTTATGAATAAGGCAGGATTAAATTATATTTATTACCCGCTTTTAACATTTCGCACGAATAACCACAATTTACCAGTCGAGACTGGCCGCGAGAATAATGTACCCAGAGAACAACGTCTATGTGCACTCTGTAACCCCCCGCCAATAACCGATGAATTCCATTATATATTTCAATGTCAAGCTTTTGATAACAAAAGACTTTTATTTATTCCTAGCAGATATTTAACTTGGTCAAATGTGTTTTCATTAACAAGCCTATTTTCAACAACTAAACTGAACGAGCTTAAGCGTCAAAATATGTATTATTTGTATTTACCACTTTGAATGCTAAATCTAAATGCACACAGTCTTCTTGATGTACATATTATATTCATCTCTGTACTTTATGTATGCTCTTTTACCACCGTCGGTGGTCTATGGAGAAATAAAAAATCAGAATCAGAGAATACGGCACTGTCCGTATTGACAGGGTTTCATTGTACATAATGGTACTTAACCCTTAGTAATTGAGTCGGGAATTTCTACCCGATCAAAGACCCCATTAGAAGACCTTACAGAAATCTTCGCCTGAAGCAACATGTGTGTGATTTGATATGACATTCTACACAAATATTTGACTCCTTGAAACCCAAATGAAAACACCCAGGTCTGGATGTCCGCTTAAAGGTTTATATTTCTGTATACTAAATAGTGTCGGCTTCAGAATACAGACCTGTTGATAATTTGTTCGCTTTTGGCAAATCAACGGATATATTAATTATATTATCCTCTGACGTTGGCTTAAACGTTCATGAAACAACATATACATACTGTGCAAAATCACATTCCCATTTACATTTGCACCTGCTCCAGACATGATGCAAATTTGCTCCTGGTGTAAATACAGGTATACACATATGAGCAAACTCGTTCCCATGACAAGTATATACTCACGTATATATATTTACACACGTATGCACATGTACACACACATGTATAGAGGTGCCTGTGAACATGGTATTGGACAACCATTCCCAAATATATCTATTTGTTGCTACCAGACACTGATTATCGATCACGCATATTGCGTCTGTATTGGCATTGTTTGCCTATCAGACAGTGATTGAAAACTGTAATAAATACGCGCCCAGTCTTTCAGGATCGGTTATTTGCAAGCCTCACGCCGTGTGTCCTGATTGTCTTTTGCTCTGGGCAAAGCTAATCTGGATCAGCTTCTCGTTCTGTCTCGTCTCCGTTTGCGCGAGTTGTCCACTCTGCTTGTTCACACTTCTTAGGGATTTACTTTAGGTTCCTAGGCAACCGTTCAAATCTAGAAGCGTCCAGTTTTTCACATGCGCAGACTGGAAGCCAATCAATATCAGCATTACACCTTAGGCTTTCAGCGCCGCCATAAATCAGCTGTTGGCCCGATTCCGTAAACAGGTGGACCAAATACTCACATACCGCTGGCTAGTTCACGAATATCACCAATAATATGTGACAGATGGAGCAATGTGTGATGGATGAGCAATGGTTTTCGAACTTTCAAACACTTTGTCAACAGTTGTGCACTAGCTTTCTGGGTTTACAAGTACGATACGTGCAGTGATTTCCTCTGGATTTGTCATTTTGGAACTAATGTAAGTTGTTGTTTTCTTTTTAGACGAAATCATCACTTTGTTCACCAAACATGACTGCTGTGGGAATGTTTAGAGAAAGAAGCTGTGATACTGAATGCAATAGATAGATAAAGGTATGCGTTACCAAACAACTATGGTCAATTCTTCCCAACAAGTGATGGGAGGCGCATGATGTTTCATCTCTCTACAGGTGCAAGCATGAACGTCTCTGTCAACTATTCAGGTGTGCAGACTCCGGGGGCCACCATTGCTGTGTCGGTCACAGCAATGTGCATCGTCAACATTGTGGCATTTGTTGGCAACCTCAGCAACCTCATCGTAATCTTAAAGTGCGCACATCTTCGCCACACTCTCACAAATCTCTTCGTTCTGAATCTGTGCAGTGTGGACCTTCTGGCATCCATCCTAGTTCTCCCAGTCTCTATAGCCACGTTCATTAAAGGAGGCTGGCCCCTGGACACCACCGCGTGCACCATCACTGGATTCATCAACTCGTTGTTGACGTTTTCTTCCATAACAAACTTGTGCACCATAAGTATAGAACGTTATTACTCCATCCGTCTCCCCATGCACCACGCCGCAAACATGACCCTGTGTCGGACATTACTGGTCATCGTCTTCATCTGGACGGAGAGCGTGGTGTTCGCGGCTCTCCCTCTGCTAGGACTTAGCTCCTATGAGTACCGGGATCACAAGAAGCATTGTTCCTTCACATGGCGGGATGGTAACTACAGTAGGGCCTATATCTTTGTCATAGGGTTCTGGTGTTTCCTTCTTCCCGGAGTTATTTTACTGTTTATGTATTACGGAATATTCAAAGTGGCGAGACTTGCAGCCACCCAAGTGCATCCCCAGCCTTCCCCTCAGACAAGATGTTCCACCCTCAGCAGAAACCCAAATGGATCAGGGTCACTATCCAACGACACAAGGGGAAGTGTGTCGTCTCATGTGTCTGTGTTGCCTGCTAGACAGCTGCCCAAACCAGCTAGGAAACATTTCAAAGCTGTCAAGACTCTGATAGTGATTCTAACCGCTTACATAGTGCTGTGGGGGCCTTACTTCATCCTTCACATTCACGGGGCAGTGTTTGGTAGTGTCGTCCAAAGACAGACGATGGAGATACTGACAACGTGGCTGGGCTATGTATCCTTTGCCCTAAACCCCTTCCTCTACGGCTGGATGAACCGGACGATCCGGGAGGAGCTTCAGAGCCTGTACAGGTTGTTGTTTTGTTGTATGTGCAAAAAGGACGATCCCACCCCCGAGGACGGTCCCCCCGGGGAGGACTTCTGGCAATTTCTCGAGAGGACTAGTGCTAAAAACAACGTCACTCCGCCCGTCGCTGTGGGTGACAACAGCAGACCTCAAGACCAACGAGACTGTGACATTGAGAACTCGGAATTATGTTTCTGAGTCGTGAGTGATATTTCTTTTATTTTGGGAACAGGATATTTCAGCAAGTAAATACGTATTTCAATGATGATAGTTTCCTTGTTTATCTTAATAAAATGTGCTCGAACTAGGACTAAGACATTTCTTTAAAAAAGCATAGGTTTACTTGGGGACAAATACATACATTTAAATGCGTGTGTGTTTAAGTAAGGTGTTAATAATGTAAAAGAAAACCATTTGTGCCAAATCTCTTCTCTACCGTTGGTATTATCGTTGTCATTGTACCTTGAATATAAATGGTATGCCCCATTTAAAGGTTCTTTCTTAACTGATGAAAAAGTATAATTGCCTCAAGTTCAGTTCCGAAATATATCAGTGGATATGCCTATTTATCATATTGTGACGCTGTAGAAGAAGATACATTATTTGTTCTTTCTGTTATAAACTTCACTGATGTTTAGACCGCACCCCATATGGCATCTGAAAGTTTCTTTATTATATGTAAAAAACACACCGAAAAAAAGCAAAATTTCTCCTTGACACGCCCTATATTACTAATATACATTACTGGTGTATATTACTGATGTACATTTCTGATATACATTACTGATATACATTAATGATATACATTACTTATATATATTACTTATATACATTACTGGTATATATTACTGATGTACATTACTGGTATATATTACTGATGTACATTACTGGTATATATTACTGATGTACATTACTGGTATATATTACCGATGAACATTTCTGGTATATATTACTGATGTACATTACTGGTATATATCACTGATGTACATTACTGGTATATCTTACTGATGTACATTGCTGGTATATATAACTGATGTACATTACTGGTATTTATTACTGATGTACATTGCTGGTATATATTACTGATGAAACTTTTATGTGAATATGCGTTCTCAGTTTGTACACACACACACGCACGCACGCGCACACACACACACACACACACACACACACACAAACCGTTCAGTGGACAGGTTACATATTGATATCATTTTAAAATCTTTATGTTGCATTTTCATTTACAGTTGCGCATATTATACATAAAATAATTTACAGTTGCAAAATATTTTGTTAAGAGTAGTTTTGAGTAAGCTCCAATTGGATATCCTGGAAAGTTGGCATTTTGTGTTCAATTCTTTTGTCAAATATAAGGCATTTTCAGGTGTTTACAGGATTACTGTTTTGTAAGGTATACCCGAGGAAAACTTTTTTTGTTTTGAAATATGAATGTTTATATTCCCTTTATTGAGAAGCCAGTTTTCCATATTGGACCAGATGGGGAGTACCTTCTGACATTCCAAAAAAAGGTGTAAGACCGTTTCTTTATCATTTGCGCGAGTAGCGAATGTGTAGGTAGAATATGATATAATATTAAGTATTGAAACCAATGAAATGTGCAGGACTTTGTACACCTAAACGGTAGACGATTAGAATGTTTACGGCTGGATGAACCGGACGATCCGGGAGTAGCTTCAGAGCCTGTACAGGTTGTTGTTTTGTACACCTAAACGGTAGAAGATTATGATGTTTACGATCTGCTTCGCAGATTTGATTTGAATTCACATTTTTGAAAGTGTTGATTCTTGGTAATATGTATTTTATAGCAGTATTGAGAACCTTTCCTGGCTTTTAACAAATAAAATAAATTAAATGGTAAAATTGGGAAACTAAGTTTATACAGCTTCTAAATGCCCTGTTGCCCACAGTATTGCTAAATAGATTGGATCAGACTTAAATAATTAAGATAATTAATTTTAAGGTTGTATGTCTCCGTGAATTGTACAAATGAGAGAAAGTGTCCATTTTCGTCAATAAAACTGTTAATAAATCTGATGCCTTTTTTAGACCATGATTGGTAGACGATCGTTTCCTTCCCCACGTGCATGTTATTATTTAACCAGACATTTTGTGACAGAATGCCAACGGCAGGAATATTAATAATTTCTAAATCGTCCACAAAAACCCACCAAGACATCAGTAAATGTTCATAGAACTTATTGTTTACACTAGATAATATATATGGCTTATGCTTCTAGCTATTGATCTCGTACACATTTTGACCCCTTATTATAGGGGTATTTAAAAAGAATAAAAAACACAGGGACTGTTTAGCACGGGATGTAAGGACTCGTCTGATCGAAATCGTTTTATGTTGTATGACTTCCCTTATTTTGGGGCATTTCATTCCTCCATCTTAAGTATCACATACTATTTGTTATCTTTTTATTTTGTCCGTTTTCTTCCAACAAGAATTTGAAGCATTTTGATTGAAATTTATCATTTAATGTTTGGGGTGGAATAGGAATAGATGTTAATAGATGATTTAGTCCTATTGACAACATTGACCGTTTCACTATGCTTGAATCTGTTTTCGTAGTTAATATCCACCATGTCATCCAGATCAAAACAGAATTTTATGCCCAATAATTCGAAAGGTTCCTCCATCCAGCCTAAATTATGTTTCGGGCAGAGTATCATTTTGGATCTTTTTTCAACCCTATCCATATTAGTTTTGTTTTATCTGTGTTTACCTTTAAGCCTGAAAAACGCACGAAGAATGTCAATACAAAGCAAAACAGCGTAGAGGCTTCGTTCAGAACCATCAAGTGAGCAGGATGTGTCGTCTGCATATTGTGCTAGAAGATGCTCAATGTCACCAGTGCTTATCCCCTTTATATCCTGGCTATTTCCTATAAGTATTGCTGGTATTTCTACGTAAAGGATGAATATATAAGGTGATAAAGGATTTCCTTGACGTCATCCTCTTAATATATCGAAGAATGAGGAGCCAAAACAAATGATTGTATCCCATTGCAGAAAGTATATGCCCATTGTTTGATTGATTCTCCGAAGCCAACGTAACTCATTGTTTCGTTTATGAAAGTCCAATCGACCGTTTCGAATTCTTTTTCAAAATCGATCAACAGTAGTAGGACTGTAATTTGATAATTTTCAGTATATTGCATAACATCATATATCTGTCATGTTATTTCCCACATGTATTGCCCAGCCATGAAACCCTTCTTATCTTCGTTAATTAGTATGTCTAAAACAGATTTTATACTTCGTGATTTTGCTGTTAAGGCAACCTTATAGAAGACCGTTAATAATGACATTGGACGCCAATTTCTCAGGTATTGTTTAGGTTCATTATCTTTTGGTAGACATATAATTAGTCCTCGTTTTTTTAGATGGATAGTTCACCTGCTCGGTATGCAATCTCGGTAAGAGATCTTATTATGTATATACCTATACAATTCCAGAAGAATTTTAAGAATTCCGCAGTAAAACTAATGTGTTGAGTCCCCAGGTTGATATACTTTACTGGACATAGTATTAATATACATTAGCAATACACATCAGTGATACACGTTACTGGCGGGCCAGATTATTTATAGGTCGCCGTGAAACAGATGAAATATTACGCTGACGGCACAGAACAGCAACCAAATGTTACTCATGAATTGTACTTTCAATGGAACGGAATAACAACTTAGGCGCACAACTAATGCCATAATTTGTATACAAGCCTCGTCGACAATACACGTGGTAATTGTAATATGTTTACATCAGACAATGATGAGTCAATAAGTACATTACCATCACCTTAAGTAAGTATAATATGGATATACTGCAGTTTAAAGTTAGAACAAAAATAATATTATTGAACTAGTTTTAGTATAAGTGGGTTCTCACATAAGCAGTTCACTTTCAGGTAAGGAAATGTGAAAGTGTAAAACTATTGAGAAGGACAAATATACATTTACGTTTGAAACTGTTGTGTTAAAAACAGCGGCAATGTCACTCAATTGTCGTCATATCACTTTCCACGAAGGTGTTTTTGTCAGTTAAGGAAAAAGGTGGAGGAAATCAAGTGGTGCCAGGTCTGGCGAGTATCAGGTATGAGGAAGCTCTTGGAACCCATATAGTCGCAAATCAGCTTTTGCAAGGCGAGAGGTGTGAGAAGAGGCATTGTCATGAAGTAGTAGAACTCCAGTAGTCGGCATTCCTAGGCGCTTTTCTTTGATAGACTTGAAGTTTTTTGGTGCCGTAGAAGTTGAATCGTGCCATTCAATTGACTTGGGATCATAGCGGTAGACCCATGTTTCATCACCCGTTACTAATCCAGTTACGAGATCTTCCTCAATTAGCTCTACATTTTCTCTGGCAATGTCAGTTCTTTTCCCCTTAAAATCAGAATTTATAAACTTTGGCACCCAACGAGCAGACATCTTATTCATCTGTAAATGTTCATGAATAATAGTTTCAATGGATCCATGGCTTTGACCTGTGTCTTCCCCAAGTTCAACAATGGTAATATGTCTACCTGACAGTATACGTTTTTTCTATCTCTTTGATTGAATCCTCATTGATGGAAGTTGAGGGACATCCAGACCTAGGGTCATCATCAATGCTTGTTTTCCCAGCCTTAAACATAGCTGACCGTTTAACAGTGGAATAGCTAGGGCACTTGTGCCAATACACTTGTGACATGCGGTCAGGAATTTCTTCGGGAGTACCTTTCTCTAAAGTCAAAAACTTGATGACTCCTCGGTACTCGTTCTTTTCCATTTATTTGTCCATTTGGATCCCTATCACGTTCAACTGACTGTCACTTATATACACACGGCCTCCACAGACCAAATACACTTGCAATGAACTACTCAAACAATGTAAAACATTGACTATTTCTCTTTGTTATGACTCATTGTTGAAAGTTAGTCGGCCTTAGAACTTTTGAACCAGCCCTCGTATGACGGAATAATTATTGCCATTACATTCATCATGGTCTAAGGTTTCTACCGCTTCATGGTAATATCGACCCTACATGTGTGTGCAGGAGGCACATACGACTTGCTGATATGTGCGGACCACGCCTTATCTCTGTTTCACACACATGAACCTTTAGGTAGCGAAACAAAATAGATGATTTAGTAGTATAAAAGTGCATATATGAGATTAAACAAGTTGCAGCAACTTTCTACTAATTCGTT